AAAATGGTGAACGGGGGAGATTCCGACCTACCTAGGAAAGGATTTTAATCAGTTTAGTTCCAGAAATAACTATGGAAATGCAGATTTTTTCCATTCTGCTGCTTCTGAGCATTATATTGTGACAAGCGCCGATGGAGCCGCGGCGCCCCTGCCCCCAGCCGGCCGGGAGAAGCGATGTGATTGGCAGCTGTTCTGAACCCCACAGGGAAAGGTCCGAGGGCATAAGCATATGAAAAGCCAACCAAAAAAAAAATGAAGCTTCTGAAAACCGGAAAAACACCAAAATTACCCATCATTCTCCGCATACCATGCTGATAACCGTGCCTCTTTCCCTAGGCCATGTGCCCCCACCCGCCACGGCCATGCACCCCGCCCCCGGGCCGCGCTTCCTTTACGCAGGGACCGTGTACCCGGTGGCCCCGGCAACGCACCGGTGAACACACCGCATCCGTAGGCTTCGGCCAGGCCTGTGAGCAGGGCTGTGTGGACGTCGGAGCGACGCCGACCGGAGCAGCCCGTTAGTTAAGCACTGGGCAGCATGAAGGTGCAAACACGTGGGAAATCCCGAGGGGCCGCTGCGTGGGCCGCGGCAGGATGCGAAGCGCTCACCCATCCGTTTCTCCACTCATTCACAGGGCTTATTGGCCTACACGCCCCCCTTGACCTCCGCCATCGGCCTCTCCTGGAGGCGGGGGAGTCAGTGTTGGGGCGAGCAAGCCGCGGGTCACGGTGAAACACGGCTGGCCTCACTGAGCTATTGAGAAGCAGAGTCAAACCTGCCCCCTCCCCCGCCCCGGGCTTCTGACGCTGCCCTGCTGGGACCCATGCCCTTTCTGGGGACCTTAAAGTAAGAACTGCACACATCCAGTCAAAGTCAGAGCCTCCCCAGCACACTGCAAACACGACCGACGTTTTATTTGCAGGTACCCCTTCCATGAGCACCTCTTTTACATAGGCTGTTAATGGACCACGGTCATGTCCTTGACAGATTCAGGCATAATGAGAATATCGGCGCGGATCTCGTACACACACGGATGGCGCATCTTGCCCTGGCCTGTCATCTTCTGCAGAGGGTAGGAGCCAAAAAAATGCGAAGCCGAGGGCTCCAGGATGTACCCCCAGCCCTGAGTCCATCGAAGGTCCCTGCTCAGAGCCAGTCGTAGGGAGGCAAGGAATAGCGCCCAGAATTCTGTCTAAGCGCTTGGCCGTGTCTCAGAGCAGGGTCCCTCGACCTGCACTCTGTGGCCATCTGGGGCCGAGTAGGTCTTTGTCATGGGGTGTCCCGTGCACTGGGGTGTCCCATGTACCTTGGCATCCCTGGCCTCTCCCCTCTAGGGGCCTACAGCACCCCACTCCCGGGTGGAGATAGCCGCCGATGTCTCCAGACATTTCCAGGTGTCCCCAGGGGGACACGTTGCCCCCTGTGGAGAACCGTTGTCTGTGGCAGACGTGTCTTACTCTTTCCGTCGCTGCCCGCTGACAGAGCCTTTTGCGTATTTCTCTGCATTGTTTCCCGCAAAGAAAAGCAGACAGTGGTGAGAGGCCGCCGACGGGCCTGGCCCCCGCCCCTGGGGGCTCTGGGACCCCATCATCGCTGGGATGCTGGGACGCTAGGAAGCAGGTCCCAGCATCACCTGACTTCACAAAGGAGGAGGCAAAGGCTTCCCAAAGTTTCCCCTGACTCTCGCCCGGGCAGCTGTATGGGCCGCACACTCGGGCAGCCGCCCTGGCTCTGGCAGGGACCCCGAATTCTAGAAGGTGGACCTCAACGCCAGGACGCGGACGCTGGCCAGGGCCATCCACTCGTGCCCGCGGAAATCGCGTGCATGTGTGTGAGTCCGAAGACGCGGCAGAAGGTGCGCAGGCTCTGCCAGAGCTTCGTGGGAGTCAGGCCCCCGTCGGCCGCCCGGGAGGGAAAGGAGGCCCACCCTGCACGGGCTGGCCGGCGTCACCTCCCGTCTCCCTCGCCCGGACCGGCGTCGTCCGGGCCAGCGTCAGGGTCCTGGCGGGCCCTGTGCGCACACGCCCACGGGGGACCGAGGAGCTGTCGCGGGAGGGCCAGGACTGCGGGACGGGCGTGACACGTTTCACGCAACTGGACAGACCTTTCCGAGCACCGAACCACACCCCGGCGGGGCTGAAATCTCAGCGCCTGTGCCCGCCCCGAGCGTCGCCGGGGCTTGAGAGCGAAGCTGTACCTCCGGCGGGGAGCCGCGGGGACCTTCCTGCTCTCGTCAGTCCCCCGCATCCCACTCGGTGAGCCGTCACGGCTCCCAGGAGTCCCCCAGCTCGGAGGTGCCGGGCTCCCCCAGTGGGGAGCCCCTGGACCCAGGGAAGAGAAACCCGGCAGGGCAGACGGCCACCTCGCCAATGAGCAGGCCAGTCCCCTAGAAGCACCGAGCTGCACACGAGTTAAAATTTCTTATTGCTGGTCTGGGGTCTCACCCCCGGCATCTGTGCGTCTGCCCGGAGGACCAACGTCCCTCATCACACTCCCTTGTGCCCGGAGGCCTTTACCTCTGGCGTTTGCTCCGCATTGTTCCTTCTTCACGTGGGGGGAACCCAGGACGTTGTGACTACGTTGAACCGGATGGGAAGTCTGTCATCCTGACTCACGGAGGACAGGCTGCCGCTGGGGTCCCTGCTGGTGGCCGGCTGCCTTGGGGCCCTGCCAGAGGGAGGGAGTGGGCAGGAGAGCTTTCCCCTCTCCTCAGTGGGGAGGGGCCACAGGGGGCCACCTGGGCGAATGGCTGCTCCCCTCCCCAGCCCCGGTCCCAGCCAGGCCGGAGCTTGCTGCACAGCCTCCACTGCTCACTAAGCCACTAAGGGCTTCGTGACCGTCTCCTACGGCTGTCAAAATCCTTCTGTCCCAAAGGATGCCGAGAGAATGAACCCACACGGCAGGGTTCCAGCCGCCCTGTCCTGTGCACCTGGGGACAGCCGAGGCTTCCGCCCAGGGCTTGCCCCTGCCGGGCCTTCCTTGTACCCCAAGCCTGGCACATGACTCCTCTGCCCGCTCTTCCTCATCCTCACCCACGGGCGGGGCTGGCCTGTGCCCCTGCGGCCCTCGCGGCTCCCAGCGGGGACGTCCGCACGGAGACCAGGCAGGCGCCGGGTCTGGGTAACGGGAAGGACCAGAGAGAGTCTTCAAGCCCCAGGCAAGGAAGGGGCTTCTCCAAGGCGCTGAGAGCCTGCACCCTGGGGACCCCACAGAGATCTGAGGACACTGCATGTGGGGCTCCTCGGGGAGATGGGATGTCCCCTCAAGGCCAAAGGTGGTACAAGTGAGTCTAGACCCAGTTCAGTGTTCACCATCCCCCCTCCCTTCACACCTGGACGCAGGAGGAAGCTGCTGGGTTTTCCTGGGGGATACGAGCAGGGAGCAAGCAGGACAGGGCCTGGGAGTCCCCGAGAACCCACCGTGGTACGGAGCAGCAGAAAGCCCAGACTGGGGGAACAGAGGGACACAGACTGAGCACCGGGCAGGCAGTAGGCATTTCAGCCGGTACCTTAGCAACAAATAAGGAACACGGACCACGCCCCCTTCCGCAGAGCGCACCCCAAAACTCCAGGGTAATGGAGGGCAGGGAGGAGTGCACCTCTGACCTGACTGCGAGGCCGAATTCTTCCTTTTCGTTACACATCTCGCACAGCTGAGCCCAGGGGGCGCAACTTAGACCCCAGCCTCGAATTTCCTGCCTAGCACGTGTTTCTCTCTGGAGTGAGACCCTGCCACGCTCAGAGGGAACATCGAGTTTTCTCCGCTGTCGGGAGTCCAGATCTGGGCCGTTGATTTCTTCCGACCTCACTTCGCCCCTCTCTTCTCACCTGCCCTCGACCGTGGCACCTTTGCCCAGTCATGCCATCCTGCCACCATGTTGCTTGTCGTTACCCGACCAGAATTGCAGGTGGAACCAGGCAAGGCGCGTACACGCCTTAGAACACCTGTGTGTATCGGGCGGCCGCGGAGAGCGACTTGAAGCCCTGGCTGCAAACTCTCAGTTGGAGCCCTCTGCGGGAGGCCCCCCTCCGCAGGCCCCAACTCCCAGGGGGGATCAGAGCTCCTGGTCCCAGGCCACCTTCATGCTGGCAAACGGCTCTCTGGGCAAACTGGGCTCCTCTGCAGTGGAGGCAGCCGGGGCAGCGGCGGGGGGCCAGGCCCTCCCTCTCCGAGCCCCTGCCCCTGGCCCCTGTCCAGGCAGCGAGAGCCCCAAACCAGCGCTCTAAGAGCGCTTTCAAACTGGCGAAGTTTGTTTGGTCATTCACCCTTTGCATGGCCTGAAGAAGAGGACCGTTGATGGACTACTCTTTCAATGGAGCGTTTCCTGAACAGAGAGGAAAATGGAGCTTTAAACTACAGAACCTTGGCCCGGGAAGTTCAAGCAGCCGTGACGTGTGTCCCTGGGGACACACGAGTCCTGGGCCCTGAACTCTTGGGGCTGAGAGCCAGCAGGAACTTTCCGGTACCGCCCTTGTCTGGACAGCAGCACTTCCTAACCACCTCCCATCCCTCGGAACACATTACATGAAAACGTTTTTTAAAAAATAACAGAACACTCAGTGCACTCCAATGTTTTTTCTTTGATATCATTTCATCATACCCCTTAGGTTTTGCCTTTATAGTAGGACTCTTTTAAAAAAATATATTCATTGCCCTGGCTAGTGTGGCTCAGTGCATTGAGCTCCAGCATGCGAAGCAAAGGGTCGCTGGTTCGATTCCCAGTCAGGGCACAGGCCTGGGTTGCGGGCCAGGTCCCCAGCAAGGGGTGTGCGAGAGGCAACCACACGTTGATACATCTTTCTCCCCCGCTTCCCCTCCATCTAAAAATAAATAAAATCTTTAAATATATATATATATATTCATTGTATGTGGACCTCTATATGTTGTATTTGTATGTTATCATACATGCCACCTCAATACCAAACATGCTTTTAAAACTGAGACTCAAATGCCTTTTTAGGAAAAAAAAAAATCTTTATTTTTAAAAAAATAACTTACAGATTGAGAGAGAGCTCTCTGACCCATGACTGTTCACTTTTTAGGCACGGCGTTGCCCACCTGGAACAGTCTTGCTTGTTGTTTGTTTGCCCAGCTCGTTTACAGATACTATTAACGTCAGAAACTGCGTGATAGGGCAGTCCTCGCCACAACCGCACACAGGGACGCAGCGCCACGCAGATACAGAACTGTCGTATGCAACACATTTCCGCCACGGCTGAGATATATTTATATATTCATATGTATATATAACGTCACAACGGCTAACAATCACTGCCATCCTTAGTCAGATCTGAAGTCAAACTAACCTTAAAACTAGCACAAGGAATACATGTCAGCATTATAGTTCCCGTACAACATTTAAAATATATTTAAACTTTCAAATACATTTATAACACCGAAAGGGAGAAAATAAAGTCTTAGCATTTAAATACAAATCGCCGTAGAAAACCTTCAGGAAACAGAGAGAGCGCTATAGTACAGAGGTGCGGGCAAGCCCCCGGCCGCCAGTCCGGACGGGCGGCATTGGCCGGCGGCCCGGCCCCGCGTGGCGCAGCCAGGGCCCCCCCGCGTGGCAGCCCGGCCGGCCCGAGAGACAGACGGAGGAAGCTGAGAGAGACGCCTTCGCGCCTCAGGCTGCGCGGCTGTCAAGCCCCAAAGCCCTTCGCGTTACCGCCGGAGATGGGCGGCCCGGCTGGAAGCGAGCACGCGCGTCCCCAGACGCGGCTTCATTTGGTGCTGGGCTCCAGAGCAGAGTACTCGGCCTCCGACACCCGGGAGGCGTCGATGAGCTTGGTGAGGCCCGTCTTGGCCGAGTACTTAAAGATGAAGGCTTTCATGAGCTCGTACCGGTAGTTGCGGTTGATGAAGCTGTAGAGCACCGGGTTGACACAGCAGTGCACCAGGGACAGGCACTGCGTGACGTGCAGGGCCGTGAAGAGGAAGGCCTCCAGCTGGCAGGTAAAGGGGATGTAGTGCAGGACGGAGCAGACGTCCAGGAGCACGGCCACGTGGTAGGGCAGCCAGCACACCAGGAAGACCACCACGTAGGAGAAGATGATCTTCCGGCTGCTGTGCTTCTCCTGGTCGCCGGAGGCCGTGATGGCTCGGGCCAGCAAGAAGTAGAAGGCGGCGATGACGCAGAATGGGATGACAAAGCCCAAGACCACAGACACCAGCTCCATGCCGATCAGCCACTCCTTGACGCTGTGCTCGGGGTAGAAGGACCGGCAGTAGGTCTCGTTGTTGGACGCGGACGTGATGGTCTTCAGGTAGTAGGTGTCGGGCAGGGACACGCAAAAGGCCAGCAGCCACACCAGGACGCAGACGACGCGGCGGACCATCTTCTTCCTGTGGCTCGAGGTGCTGGTGAAGTAGGTGATGGACAGGTAGCGGTCCACGCTCATGCACGTGAGGAAGAAGATGCTGCCAAAGAGGTTGATGGAGAAGATGAGGTGGGTGACCTTGCACGTGAGCTCGCCCATGGGCCACTGGTTATGCTGCACGAGGCTGACCACCCAGACCGGGATGGTGACCACCACCCACAGGTCGGCGATGGCCAGGTTCAAGATGTAGCAGTGCGTGTCGTAGCCGGTGGTCTTGGCCTGGATGTTCACCCAGACCACCACGGAGTTGGCGATCATGCCGATGACGAAGATGAAGATGTAGATGAAGGACAGCGTGTACAGCAGAACGCTTTTGTTGGCCATGTTGGGGCACGTCACCGTGTCGACCACGATGCAGTCGCTGCTGTTGCAGGGCCAGCTGATGTCGGAGAAGTTCCCCGGTTCCGCGTAGTCGAAGAGATGCAGGTCCATGGCGTCCAGGGCGGCGACCGAGAGGCCTGCAGGAAAAATCAAACGGCAGAGCTGGAAGAGAAAAACCGCTGTTAGGACACGCGCACGTTTCGGTCACAACGCTTCCCCAGCGCCCCCCGTGCCCGGCTGTTTCGCGTCAGCCCTGTAGAACATTTATTTGCAAAGCAAACGGCCACAACAGAACTCTGCAAAACAGAACCTAACACACCGCGAAGCTAAATCCACCTGGTGCTCAAAGAAACACTGTTCGCTCCCTCTCTCTTTTCATGGCTGTGTTGGCAAGACATGACCAGCCTGGCGGCCCCCAGGGTGTGAAATCAACAGTCTGGGGCCAGAGAAAGGTCAGGCGGCCGGGACACAGCCGCAGCCACAGGGATGGCTGACTAGTTCTCAACAAGGGGACACCGGAACCATCCATTTCACCTGCACCCACAAACGTGGCAGGCCCAATATGCTCCTTACACATGTCCTGCTCCGGTACCTTTATAAGATCGACGCAGAGTCTCTTCCAAATTTGTGACTAGTGCCTTTTACCCCCCTGCCAAGTCTGCCCATAAACCGGGACGCGGGCCGCCCTCTTCTGCAGATGGGGAGGCCACTCGAGACTCGGTCAGCAAGCATCCGGGACGCCCCGCTGCTGGACCGTCCTCCGAGCCCGCAGACCCTGGGCTGTTGCCCGGTTTTCCATCGTTCACCGGTCCAATGGCTCCAAGAGCAGCTGGGCGCAAAAGTCACCGCCCGCTGCGATTCTGGAGGGGCCAGTGGCTTTCTCCACGGTCCCCCTGCTACCCTGACAGGAAGCCGGCGCTGAGGACTGTCCCCACTGAGCGCCCACAGAGACTCCAGCCCCGAGGTACCGCGGTGCCTGGGAATGATTTCTCCACAGACTCAGCCGCTACAGGAGCTGCCACGGGCCGTCCCCCACGCGGGCCCGTGCCCCGAGGGCCCTGAAACCCCTCCACAGCATGGCTCAGGTCAGCGTGACCGTGGCAGGAGGGCAGGCCCAATGAAAATAACCGCGTGCCCACGGGCGGGTCAGGTGCTGTCCTTCCTCCTCACCCGTCCCAAGCAACGGACCAAGTCAGGCTTATTCGCCGAGTGAATTGGGAGTGGACTCCGGGTCACACGTGCGAGGCCCCTGGAGAAGGGAGGTCAGGGCGCAGGGGCCGCGCCAGCAGGGGGAGGAGGAGGCAGCCCCCAAGCGCCCCCGCCCTGGGCCCAGACCCTCGCTCATTAGTGGGCGCTGGGGACTAGGCAGCCCATCTGCCCGCTGCCTCTCCGGACACCAGCGTCAAAGAACGGGCCCCCGTGCAGAGTCGAACACGGCAGGTGCTCGGGGCAGCCTCACCCACCCACCCGGCCCTCGCCTAACGCTGGCTGTGCAGAGACACCACCTCCTCCAGGCAAAGGGACAAAGGTGCCAGCGCAGAGACTGGCCGCTGGTCCCCCTTCAGCATCAATGGACAGATGCCCTGAGGGCCGGCTGGCGCCTCAGCCTCGGCGCTCACCGCAGGTGGCCTGCCCTTTGCCCCCCGGCCAGAGGCCTCCTACAGGTTCTCTGCTGGGTGGAAAGTGGCTGCGGGTTCCCCTCCTGGTGTCCTCACTGCTGGGGGACAGCAGAGGAGCCGGGTCAGAGGACAAGCCACCATCTGCAGCCAGACAGAGGCAGGCCGGCCCGGGGACGGAGAGCCCCCCGCGGGCACCAGCCTGGCGTCCCCTCCTCTGCCTGCACTGGCACAGCCCACGAGCCTGGGCCACGGCCGCAAACCCGGGGTCTTGGGCTGACCATGGCCTTGGTTAGCCCGAGTGGGTGCCAGCTTTCCCCACGTGTTTCTTCACCCCAAGGAGACCCCGCGCTCGCTCGGCGTGGACAGGCAGACCTGTGCCAGGGCAGGGGCACATGAGAAGACCCCTGCCTCTCCCGCGCGGTCCCCAGGGAATGAGCAGGCGAGAAGTCCCTCTGGGCCCCTCCGCTCCCCTGCACCTCCGGGCCGCGGCCAGCCTTTCTACGCCCTGCGCCCCAGCCCGGCGTAGAAGCCCGGTTTAGCGATCACTGGTCCTCAGAGCCAGGAGCATCACTCACGAGCCAGGCCCGCCTGGCCCATGGCCGTCTACCTCCGGGGTGGCACAGAGGGATCTTCCAGTGGGGGCCGGACGGTGCGAGTCAGCTGGCCCTGCCAATCATCGATCGCTGATGATCGATCACCCACTGGCCCAGGAGATGAGGCCAGAGACCCACGTGCCCCCTGGGAACCACAGTGCCCACCACCACGGCCGCAGAAGGCTCTGCAGTCAAGAGAAGGGTGGGAGGCAGAGGAAAAGGAGGAGGGAAAACAGCACAGGCTCCCCACCCCCGCAGACTCACGCGGGAAACCGGGAGGGCAAAGGCCACACAACCGCCTAGCCGCGGTCATCTCAGTATTTTCCACGCATTACGTTCGGGGCGCCGGGGGTGTTTCCAGAGAACAGACGATGACCTGACAAAGCAAACTGCCACCATTCATGGTGTGTCTCCACAGCGAAGTCCGGCTGCTGAGCGCCGGGCGGCCCGGGGTGGGCGGGGCAGGTCCGTTTCACGCCGTGACACAGGTGCGTGTGGCCTCCGCCAGCAAACACCATCAGCCTAAATCGCCAGCTTAGATTTTAACAAGCGCAGCTCTCAGAGCCCGATAGGAACGAAGGCACCGTACGGCAGAGGCTGAACTGTCTCCCCAGGCGCCTGGTTCCCCAAGGCCTGGCCAAGCACAAAATGTGAGGGTGCAGGCGGGGAGGGAGCATCGACGGAGCCCCTGAGGCTACCCGAGCTTCCCGAGCGTCTGCACTGGCAGTCCGCTCCCCTCCAGCCAAAGCAGGGCGCGCCCTTTCCAGGACACGGAGCTGAGTGCACTCCGTGCAGGCATGTGTGAGCTCCTCAGCAGCAGCCTGTGCCTGGCTGGGGGCCACCTTCACCCCTCTCAGGCCGATCCCCCTCTGATGGAACCGTCTGGCCATGCTGGGGGCCAGAGCTTAGCAGCGACTCAGTGGTGCCAGTCAGACCTGCCCAGGGCCTGCCGCCTGCGCCTGGTGTCCCAGCGGGGCGGGCGAGCCGAGCCCCACCGCAGACACCGAGGCCGGCTGCCGGCGGCACCTGCCCAAAGGCTCCCTGACGGGAGGGGAACGCGGGGCACCAAAGAAAAGCTTTTCCAGTTGTGACTTCCCAGTTCACATGCTCTTCCTCGCACAAGAGTCACGTGTCCCCAAGTGCACATGCAAGAACGTTTACTGAAGCACCGGTTATATGCCAGCGAAAGAACTGAAGCTGAAAACGCCCATCAGTGGAGAAAGGGTTCGGTAAACACGGCATATCCACTACCCGGAATATAATTTAGCTTTGAAAACAAAGAGGAGGCTGGCGCTTACGAAAAAGGGAAGGTTTAACACTGCTCATCAAAGCGGCGTGCAGAGTCACACATGTGCAGAGCACAGCCTCTTTCGTGTCAAAAAGGGCAGAAGCGATGTGTATTTTTATATGTAAATATGTATGCGTACAGGCGCGGAGAAAGCTCGCTTCGTGTATACAACCTCGGGCCAGGAGGGCGGGCTGGCGGACAAAGCAGGGGCTGCAGCTTCGACTCTGTAAACTCTTGTATTACTTGAAATATGACATCAAGAATTATGTAAATTTAAATTAAGAAGTATAAACTGGCAGTTACAAAATAGTCCTGGGGACCCTCAAGTACCTCACAGGGAGTATAGTCAGTAACATTGTAATCACTCCGTGTGGTGCCAGGCGCTTTCTAGGCTTCATACGTTATGTAAACGTCTACCCCCTATGCTGCACACCTGGAACTAATATAACACCGAACACCAACTGTAATTGAAAAATAAAATAATTACGTAGATTTTAATACAGACAGGAATGTCCCAGAAAACCATACAGGTTCACGGTCCATGTTTCTGGACCACAGAGACCCACGTGAGAACAGATGGCAGCGAAACCCCCGGCCCTTCCCTCTCTCCAAACACGTCCCGTGTTTCATCTCCCCCGTCGCCAAGGCTCCGCCGAGTCCTCGCCCGATACCTGCACGCAGACGGCGCCACGTCCGCCACGAGGGGCGGCGGCCGCTACTAGGCCTGTGGAGGACCAGCGTCCGCCCTCCCGCCCAGAGTCTGCCGAGGGCCCCGTCCACTCCCGGGGGTCCCACGTAGCGGAAGGGCTCCGCTCTGTCCGCGAGGACTCTCCTGGGAGATGTCTCTCTCCCATGTCAAGCTCCGTATTCGGCCACTAAGTATCCTTGCCGACAACAGAGCAGCTGCAAGCCGCCAGAGGTATTTAGCTGTGACCCAAGGCTCTGCCCAGGCTCGGCCAAGGGGCTGAGACGAAAGGCAGGGGTAGAGGCCTCCGCGCTTAGCGCCCCCGCAGGGTGGCAGTTTGTCCTGCAGTAAAGTTCACTCTTCCCCAGACAGACTGCCAGGTGCTCAGGGCTCTGGCTAGCGCTCACCCAAACCGCCTTCAGTACGTTTGCCATCTCCCACCGCAGACCATGGAGACCCTTCCCAACGCACCCCTCGGCCCCTCCCGCCCTGAATAACGAACGTGTCCCTTGTTTCTCCCGCCTCCTCCCACCTGGACCGGGAATGCGCATGGTGCGTCCTGGCCTGGTATACGTGTCTCCTGCTCCTCAAGCCTCCGTCCCACAACGTCTCCTTCCTCTTCGTACAGACACAGCCCGCAAAGTCACCTGCCCCAAAGCAGATGCTCAGTGAATCCAGAGTCAATGAATCCAGAATTAACCAAGCCCTTGAGACAAGAAATCGGAGGCCGTTGTCCCAGGAATGAAATCCCCACTGAGTGGAGAGGCCACCGTCATCTTTTCCATGCCTCCAAATGTTTGGGGTGGACCTTTGGTGATGGGCTCTGCTCTGGGGCACAGCGAACCCGCCGGGGACACCGCCCCCCCTCCACCGGCTGACGGAGGCGGCCAGGAAGCAGAGGCCGTGGGCCTCCCTGGGGCCCTTCAAGGAGAAAGCAGGGGGCGCTGAGGTGACCGGGATGTGCCTCGGGGAGGGTCACCAAACCCAGCTGCGGCCACACCCCCACCAAGTAGAGCCGGAGGCAAGGACTGGGCCTTGATGGGGGTGGCGGCCAGGCTGTCCCCAAAGGAGCCCCAGCGGCCTCGAGCAAGCGCGTGGCTTTGGTGCCGAGAAGGCTCCTGAGGATGGAGCTGACACAAACCACATGGGGGGGCACGGTGGCAGGACACCGAGCCGGCTGGAGGCGGGCCACCTCAGGGAGGAAAGCGCCCCCAGGTAACGGGGTCAGGCGGGGCCCCAGGCCCTGCTTGCCCACCAAGGGGCCCTCCAGGCTACTGGCGACCTCTGCCTACGGGGGACCTTCCTCACGGGCTTTCTGGGACGTTCTCCCCAGGACAGAAGCTCCGATAGCAACCGAGTGCTGTCCCCAGCCAAGATCGCCTGCTCAGCCTCACTGACTGCTGTGCACCTGGAAATGGGAGCCAGGCCAGAGAGGGGGCCGGCGCTCTCAGGCTAGGGCTCACGTCTCCCCCAGGGACTTAATCCAGACCGAGCTCTGGTCCCTGGGGAAGGCCCCGCCCTCTCCCTGGCTGGCCCGCCCTTTAGCTCAGGAGAATCCGTAGGTCCCCAAGAGTCATGAAGCAGGTGCACGTGACCAAGGGTTGGTTTTTCTGTGTTTTCTGTATGGAGTTTTATTTGTTACAATCCTGCAATAAATCTATGGGGCAACCCAGGAACGCTTGAGCCCAGCAGACGCCTGTGGCCACAGCAGACTGGCCAGCAGCCTGTCCGCCAGCACCAAGCCAACAGAAAACATGCCTCTTGACCACACCCTTAGAAGTGACCCCGGGTGACCCTGGTGTATGCAAGTGAAGAGCTGTTCTGAACCGTTTGCGAAGGGAGGGAGGGAGGGAGGAAGAGAGAGAGAAAGGAAGGAGAGGGGAGGGTGGGCCATACCCTAATTCAGATCTAGGCCACCTACCCTCGGTGTCCTCAGACCTATGCCAGTTAACCCAGGGGGACCCTCATCCGTCCCCTTAAGTACTGGAGACTACAATGGACCCACATCCAGAAACCCGATCTGGCCTGTGCGCTCAGCTGCCGGCAGGGAAGCCACCCAGCACGGCAGATCCAGAGGTCCCACGTCACAAAGGCTTACCGCCTGGGCTGGCCAGCTGTAACCAGAGCCCTGCCTCCCGCCCCGCCTAGGACCAGGACCGGGCAGTGGGCGGCCAGCCAGGCCGAGAGCCACTCGCTGTGGCTGCTCTCAGCACACACAGTAGGGCTCCCGGGGGCTGCCAGGCAAGCTCAGACTCTTCTCAAACTGAGAGAAGGTTCCCACAAAGGTACGTGGTACAGTAAGAAACCTGGAAGGCGCGGCTGTCCGGCGGACCGAGCCCTGGACGGGCCCGGCCCCCACGCTGCCCACGGCCCCCACCTGCGTCTGCCCTTGGCCCAATGCAGTGTAGGGCCGCCTGCAGCCATCACAGCCTCGCTACCCTCTGGGCGCTTGGAACAGAACACGGTCAGCGCCCAAACCTGCCCGTGGCCCAGCGCAACGCACCCCCATCACTGTATTAACAAAGTAGTAACGGGCCTTCCCCCCCCCCCCGCCCCATTCTAAATGAGTAGATTCTTACTTAACAAAAACCATGTAACACGCCTGCAGGGAGCCCCAGGTAGTCCACATTAGAGAACCATCCCTGTTTCTCTTTTTCTTTTTTTTCTTTGCTTGCCTTTAATGGCAAATACGTGTCCTGGAGCTATAATTTCCTGGACTTTAAAAACACTTGACTGTTTCTAAATTGTGCCTGCCCGCTTGGAAGGCGTTTTAGTGCCCTGTTTGTTCCCAAGAGTAAAACTTAGCTCCTCAGTCGCCTGGTTTTTCAAGCGCAAATACTTTTCGGCCCCCGGTCCCACTCACGTCCTGCAAAATCACTGGGCAATACATCATCCTGAAATCTCTAGGGCTGTTCTCTTCTCCTTGGTCACTCTCGGGATTTACAAACGGACCCTCCTTGCCCTCCTCCACCAACTTCCCGCGTGTCTCCTGGAAAACAAGGACCTCCTCGCTGCCTGGGATGTCGCACAAAAAGCCACTGTTCCTGAGTAAATAGGTTTTTTTGTTTGTTTTTTGTGGATTTTTTTTCCCCTCCGGAAAGCCTATACTTCGCCTGTGCTGGGCCCGACTAGAAACCCTAGTACCTTCTCCGCCCTCTTAGGACTTGCCGCGACAGGGGAGACCTTCCCCCCCCAAGCTCCCGGCTCCCTTTGAAGCACAGGCAGCTGCTTTTGCTATTCTTTCTGAACCTTTCCTCAAACTGAATGCGATGCATGCCCCTTTAAAAAATAAAAAATCCAATGGGCAGCAAAATACAGGCGCTTTCCCGGTTTCTTTTGCCTTCCCACCTGCACGTCTCAGTCTCTTGCTTTTGCTTTTCCTCCCTGGCAGCCCCCTCCCCCGCCCCCAGGGGCTGTGGCATCAAGCTTAGCAGTTGTGCACATTCAAGTGTTTATGGCAGAGACCGGAGAAAAAAGAGCAAATTGTTTCCAAGCCCGAGCTCCCACGTGCAACTGTGCCTGGGAGAGGGCCCTGCCTGGGGAGCTGGTGCTGCAGAGAGTCGCGCCGGCAGCTTATCCATTTACAATCTATGCAAAGTTCGCCAGGCACCGGCCGCCCTGCTTTCTTTTCCAGGCGAGCCTATTTGATCTAGGCATTTTCCTGGCATAAATAAAGGCACACACAGGCAGCATCTGCGTCTAAAAAGAGAACAAAAAGTTATCACATCGGGACTTCGCAGAATGAAGTTTCGGGGGCTGTCACCGCCCGGGACACCTTGGAAGGGCTGTGAACCATGGGGGTGGGGGGCGGGAGGGGCATTCCGCCTTTGGAAAATGCAATTATGTCGCTGTGAACTAATGAATTGAGAGAGAGAAAAGAGAAGAGAAGAGAAGAGAAGAGAAGAGAAGAGAAGAGAAGAGAAGAGAAGAGAAGAGAAGAAGGAAAGAGAGAGACTGAGCCAGTCTGACTTTTACAACTTCTGTTCTGTCTGGAAATTACAAGTCATGCTTACCCACCCATCCCTGACCTCACTCCAAAGTCCTTACTCTCGATCACCTCCTGAATATTTGAGCATGCTCACAAAATGGAACAAAATTTACCTTTTACCTGGAGAGCATTTATGACAAAGTCCTAGACCTGTGCTTTCTTCCCCCACCCCACCCCCAACTGAAGTCGGACCTAACAGCTTCTGAAGAACAAGAAATTGGATGAGCAAGGGTGCGGGGGATGAGAGACGAGGAGCCGGAGCTGGCTGTGTTCAGCCCTCAGCCTTGCCGTTCTCTGGCTTCCCAAATCCGGCGACCCCATCCCCACTCCCCAAAGCAACGAACTCCAATACGCTCCGGCTCCGCGGGTTCTCAGCCCCGTTTTCTGCTCCCCTAACACAGTGCACCTCTTTCTGGAACTGCTTAGGTACTGCTGACTGTGTTTCCCAGCGGGCGGACCAGGTCGGCAGGCGGGGGTGCCACGCGGCCCCCGGGGCCAACTTTCAGAGGCAAGATGAACAGCCTGCCGAAGCCCCGGGCTCCCTGGAGCCTCAGTACCCACAGCAGCCAATAAACACCGCGACCCTAAATCCCACAGACGCTGAGAGGTCCCCCCACAAGCGGCCGAGGAAACTGCCCCTTCCATTCTCCGCAAGGAAAGGCGCCCCCTCCCCGGGGCAGCGGCCGCGCTTGGCCGAGCAGCCCTGCCACCCAGCCTCCGCCGGGCTCTGGGAACGCAGACCCGCACCTTCGCCAGCACCCATCCCAGCGACAAGAAAGCAGCAGCGCCTGACAAAGGCCACTTGGCCGAAGAGCGGGAGCCCTGCCCGCCGCCCGCCTCCCCCTTCGCACCAGGGCCGCGGGAGGAGCAGCTCCCTTACCTCCCGGCTGGCGCGGGCTCAGGGCTCGCCTCCGCGGCTGGCGCTGGCTCGTGCGCTCTCCGCCTGAAGGCTGTGCAGTTCCGAGCAACTGGGAACTCCGGGCTGCAGGCTCGCAATATATACGCTGCAGGAAGGCGCCTCTAGATGGCAGCTGTGTAACCGGCATTCTCCGTACCACCCCCCGGCACAAATGCAGACACGCACGCACGCACGCTCAGGCACACACACCTCCCTCTTTGTGAACCCCCGTCTGCGGCTCCCAGCGCAGCACCTCCACCCCAGTGCGCTCTCGGAAAACCCCCAGCCTCCTTCATTTGCAAAGTCTAATGAAGCTGCAAGACCCAAACCCCCTGGGGGAGGCCGCGTCAGCAGAAGTAACACTGCAAAGAAACCCTGGTGCTTTGAGAAATCATCCAGTATTCATCTGGACCCAGGTATACATTGAACAGTCCCATGAACACCGGAGGTCCCTTTGAATGCCTCTGAGCTCGGGGAAGACTTTGTTCCCCGCGGCAGATGCTCTGAACTTCTGAACCCCGGGTGTTGATTTATTCCGCCTGGGTTTTCTTTGTTAATTCCTCCAAAGCAGAAGTCGCTGTTTCCATGGGAGAAATCCATCGGTATCACACTTTGTGGGCCCCCCCCCCCCGCCTCCCCCTCACCAAAGCAGGGGAAAGAGGCTCAGTAATAGATTTCAATAGATTGTATATGGATGCTTTTATTTGTAAAGGACTTCCGGCCAAAGCCCTTGAAAATCCAAGCAGAACGTAGGTATTCTGAAACGCCTGCCCCATGCCAGGCATACATTAAAAGTATCAAAAAAGTGTCTTTTGATGATGTCTCTTCCTCAGGTGAGTTTGGCCAACACTTGATTACTACTGTTGTTGCTGTTATTATTATTTAAATCTACATTCTTATCTACGAGTGTGAGCTCTGTCGGAGGAGGGGGAGGATCAAACCTACACATGTGCTCCCGCTAGCCCTCCCCTCCCATGCCCTATTTAGAAAAATAACCACAAAGCAACCACCTAAACTTTTACTTTTCAGACCACGCTGTGGGGCTGCCCTCCCCACAGCCGAGTGCGGTGTGTTTGTGGGTTGGCAGAGGGCAGCTGACATCATTCGCTGTGTTTTCACTTTCTGCCTCCGGAGCTAAACCTTTTTGAGGTTCTTTTTATACTTTTCCCAAAAATAAGGGCAGGCAGCCAAGTGCGAGGCTGGAGGGCCGAGGGGTCGCCAGGGGTCCTGCTCTCCTGCGGCTGGAGGCGGAGGCTGCAGGGAGCCCCTAACAAAAACAACATTTTGTTTCCATAAATCCTCAGGGCGGGGGCGGGGGCGGGGCTGAGAGCACACCTGCTCTGCCAGGCCCCGGGAGGGGGTCGGCTGCTGCAGCCCACGCTGGCCCTGCCCTGCCCTGCCCAGCCCAGCCGCCGACCTTAAGAACGGGCCCCACCTGGGCACCGCAAAGGCCTCCTCCCAGCCCCCAGGGGAAGCGGCTGTCCAGGAAACGGCAGGCAGGCAGCTCCGTCCCGCACCCAGGTGGAGGGAGGCCGTAGGGAGGCTCCTGCATGACTTTTTGGGTCCTGTTTCCTCCTTGCGGAGGCCCCTGCACCTGAACCTGATGGGGATGTGCCCACGCGCGGCCGGGCAGTGGTTTTCTCTCTGACACTGACCGCAGGCTTCGCCAGCTATTTCTGTGAACTTGGCAAGCCGTGTCTTGGAGAACTCTCTCCCCAGGCGCAGGTTTGGGGGCCCCACAGAAACACAGGACGGGTTTGAATCTTGCAGCAATCAAGTGTGTTCTCTTGAAAAGAAAGTAGCATGGAAGAGAAACCTGCGACAGGATGTGGTTGCTAAAGTGGAGGAAGGAAAATGCAAAGTAGTTGTAAAAAAAAAAAAGAAGAAGAAGAACCCAGCTCAGTCCCTCCGCAGCGGGCCTGCCCTCCCCAGGGCCCGGCGGCAGGGGCTGGCTATGCCCTGGCCCTCCCGGGTCCTCCTCCCCCAGGGGGTCCACACCCCCACCGCCGCCCTGGAAACCGGTCCTGAGGTCAATAAGAGGGGAAGTAAGCAATGACTTCCAAGGGAGCAAGGCTCCATCGCCCCAGGACCTGAAATGTCCGGGGACTCTTGGGAAGCCTACCCTCAGCTATTACAAGGATCGCATTTGTAAAGGGGGGGAGGTCCCACACCCAGTCAGCTTGGGACGAGTGAGTTTGGGTAACCCAATAGGAAGCAGAGGAGGCGGGGCGCTGGCCCAACGGACTCCGGGCAGAGTGCTGCCCTGCCCCAGTCTGCGCCCAGCGCTTGGAGAGCAGCCCGCAGGGCGCTCCTCCAGCCTCCGCCTGCCCCGCGTCGGTAGCTCGCACCTGGGACTTACGGCTCCAGGGGCAGGCCGCGCCCCGCCACCCGGCACCCTGCCCCTCGGCCCCGCAGCAGCCTCCTGCCTGAAACCCGGCCTCGCGCTAGGAGCTCCGGGACTCCCGGGGGTGAGGGCTGCAGAGCCAGCGCTGGCAGGGCCCGGGGTCTGTGGGAGCAGATAGAGCAGGGCCTACAGGGAGGGTGGGGGCTGAGATGGGACCCTAGAGACACCCCACGCCTGGCTGCCTTGGGGACTGAAGACCGACTTTGCCCGGGAACAACCTCAAGAACAGGGCTCCAGGCATTGTGGGCCCTTCGAGTCCTGTCCCTGAACGGAAGTTCCAGCGGCTAGAGGCTTGGCTCGTGGGTGTCATCCCAGCTGGGACCCGACCTTCTCCCCTGAGAGAAAGGCAGACACTGTGGCTTCTTCTGGGAAGGACCTGGGGGCCAAGACGGAGCCCTGCTGCCAGGAGCCTGGGTTCTGCCAGCACAGGTCTGGTCTGGAACCCCATTCCACGCCCTGTCTCCCGGGCCCTGCACCCTGATGAGCATTAGGCTCTTATCTCTGAAACGATTATAATAGAACCTTCTATCCTCGCCAGGGGCCTCTCAGGATGGATTGAAAGGGCTCCCTAGAGGCACCCGCAGGTCCCAGAAAGGCCCCACCCGTGGCCCCAGCCCAGCCCAGCCCAGCCCAACAACTGACCTGAGCACTTCCTCAGCAACAGGAGAGCCAGGCAACAGGGCAGGCAGCCATCCAGGGCTCTCCGACACATTTGAAAGGGTTCACCCTGACAGCTAAACCCGAGCCTCCGCCCTCCGCCCTCCGCAGCAGCCGTGGATGGTGCGCTGTTTTGTTTTGCGCCATTTGTGACCGAGGAAGGAAGGCCCAGAGGGAGCGGCCTCTGAGGTGTAATTTCCGCCGGGGGGGACCTGCCATCACAAGCTACCTCCGGGTGCCTCTGAGGGACGTGCTGTCAAAAGGAGCAGGACAGTCATTGCAGCCACCTGTCAAGCTGCCTGAAACTGGGTTCCTCGGAGCGTTCCCTCGGGTGAGAATTCAGGGGCGACCGATTCCCAAAGAAAGTGCTCGCCGAAGAAACTTACTGTACCAAAGTCTTGGCAGCAGCCCGACCCCTCCTGACTCTCCGAAGCCCAAAAACACCCCAAATCCACCTGGACTCCAGGCACGGAAGCTGGGCCTCCCACCACGGGACGGCGCTGCCGGAAAGGTGGGGAGGCAGGGGAGTGTGACCCCCAGATACGCCCTGCTCGCAGCCAGACAGTGGGCAGAGGCGCTCCAGTACCCTGAGGTCAGATTCACAAAGATTCATTCCAGTCGCCGGTCTGGACAGTAAACTCATGTTAAATGTGGGGGCGAGGCACAGAAACGGCAGGGTGCCAGAGGGTCTGGGAGCAGCAAAACCCTGAATTAGGCATTGGGGGCATCTGTTATATGAGTTTTGACCCAAATAAGAGAATATGTAATCTTTTTAATACTCAGAGCAGCTGGCGTCTACCGCAGGACATTTGCACCTGACGTTTTCTCTTCCTGGAATGCTCTTCCCAGCGATTGTTACAGGGCTACCTCCTTCTCTCATTCGGATGTAAGTGTAAATATAATTTCTTCAGAAAAATCTTCTTTTACCAGTCTAGCCAAAGTATCCCTGCGTCCCAGTTACTCTCGTTATCTGATATTTTGCACCTGGATCGCCATCCAAAGCCAGCAGCTTGTTGTCCACCTTCTCCCCACGAGGGCCGAATTCCCCGAGGGCAATAATGTCACTAGTTTCTTCAACGCTGTGTCCCCACTGTGACCCGCAGAGCCTGGCGCGTGGTAGATTCTCATCAACATTAACGGGATGAATAAACTCAAATGAGCCTCAGTTTTGAATCGGGTCTTGGACTCCTCACATTTCACTCACCTTCTGCCACAGAGGAATGGGGGCTGGGGCGGAGTTGGGAAAGGGTGCGGGTTAAATGCTCTAGAAAAACAGAAAATCACATACCTTAAAAACAGGCAAAAGACTTGAACAGGCACTTCACACAAAGGGATATCCAGATGATCAATAAACGTGAAAAGTGGACGACTTCCATAGTCACTGGAAAAGGGAGATCAGAATCGCGGTGACTTGTAGCCGGACACTCACCCAAAAGGCCAAGAAAATCACCGACCGTGGGTGAGGGTGTCCCGCCGCCAGACCCTTCACACCGCGGCGCTTCTCAGACCGGAGCAGTGAAGGGCCAGTGTCCTTCCTTCTAAATGTCCAATGCCCTGCAGACCCAGGCAGGGTCCCTCTGAGCGTGACGAGGGCAGAGCTCCTGCTGGTTGTGCCTCAGCTCTCAAGCGTGACATCTGAACGGTGTACACACTGCCAGACAAGGCTGCTGTCCCCCTGTTGAAAGCCACTGCGATGTCGCATTTCTATAGAAGTTTCTAAATGCGCCTTCGCGGTTTCCGGGCTCCCCAGACTGCAGACCGGTCGCAGCAGCTCGCAGCCGATGCTCTGGGGGACCCCGCTGCAGCCCGATGGTGGGCGTGAACTCAGCACGACCGCTTGGCAGCGTCCGCTAACGTTGACCACACACACCCTCTGTGACCCAGAAATTTCATCGCGAGGTGTTTACCCAACATAAAGGTGTGATGTTGCCCACAAAAAAAATGTTCCAGAATATTTGCGGCATGACTATTCATAAGAACCCCAAAC